ACTGAGGTCACAGTAGATGCTAAGATATATATCTCTGTGTTATGAGGCTAAACGTATTTTTTCAAAACCATATCTTGACCCTCTTGTGTTGTCTCACTGGACCTCTGGCTAAACATGCAATACTGCTGTAATTCAACACAAATATTTCCTCATCTTTAGACTGAAGGATGACACGGCTCCCTGAAGTAAAAACAGAGCATCTTAAAAGCCCCTGGTGGAGGTTGTAGTTTAAAACTCCTTATCCCCTCTGCTTCAGAGATCAGGACAGTCAGTAGGTCTACGACTGACACAACTGTCCAATTGATTGTTCATGACTGTAGACTGATTAATATAGCGGAGGTCGACGACTTCACTGGCGTTTAGAAAAACGCTCAGCATCTTCTATTTGCTCTTATTTGCTTTTTCTGTTTCAGCAATACGTAGAAAAAAGTTTTTATTTACCTCGATTAATCGTGATGAGTTACACTCAAATCCAAAGGCACCCATCTGCTAAAGTCTGCTAACAGATGCCTCCATTGATGTCTTATATTCTGCACAGTCCAAGTGTGGCACAAGGACAACAGAAGCATGTCGCCTTTATAACTGTAAACATATGCACATCCTTCTCAACGGTCAATACGCTTTGGTTATAAAAACCAGATTGTCAATTTTTGGGTGAACAGCCAACGCACCAAAGAAAGATGTTAATGACTAAATGTCCATCAGCTGCAGCTCTGGTTGCCATGGTGACAGCTGCAGCTTCTTCCTCCCTGAGCCAGACCCAGACTCTTCTGAGGTTTGGCTCCAGCTACGTCGTCAAAGAGCTTAACTCCTATCACCGAGGTTTTTAAATGGTCAACACAGCACAACCGTCTTGCGGAGTGAGCGGCGTTGACCGTGCAATTAAATCTCGGCAGCGCAGATCTACACACATAAATATACATACAATTCACAGTGAATTTACAAATGCATAAATTCTTTGAACTCTGTAACAAGAGGAGATTTTCCATGATATAACACTGACACACTGTTGGGTAACATATATAATAGGTATAGTTTCAGTGTCATTTCTCTTATTGACATGTTGCAACCTACCAAGGAAATTGCACAAATAGCATAATCAGATTGCATAACATTTAAAAGAGATGCACAAAATAAGTTCAGTACAAAATACCAGACATTTCACTTCTAAGATGTTTGAAAGAAAGTTTAGTGTCCGTTTAATGTAACTGCAACAACACAACAATGCAAGTAGCTGGTACAAAACATATTTTTCTCATTCATGAATCACCAACTAAAGCAAGGAAATAATTGAAAAATTAAAATATCAACATTAAATTGTTGATATCAGTTCAAAGGCCAGATGTTGGGGAGGGTTCTGGGCTGGAAGTGGCCCATGGGCCAGAAGTTTGAGACTCCTGCTCTAAGAGAGTAGGTGTAAGTGTGAATGGTTGATTGTCTCTACATGTTACCCATATGCCATTAAAACCAATTTACTAGTTCTTTTATTCTAAGACAAACTAAAAAAAAAAAAAGTGTTGTGATGTTTTGCCGTCACTCACACCCGAGGACCAATAGTTTAAGGCCAAGGTCCTCTTCGTCCCCCGTGTAAATCACAACAGCAGCATCAATCTCTTGCGTGTAAATCTTCTCAGCTCATTATTTTCTACCTGCTCTCAGATGTTTTATTGGGAAATGTCATTTTAATTCTACCTCAGAGACGACAGCCAGGTCATGGTAGCTGGACTCTCGGATATGAAATGTATAATTACAATTCTCCATAAGTCAAACCATGATGAGGACAGGTGATGGTGTTTACTCAGCAAAAACAACCTCCACAGAAGTAAAATAATTTAAAAAAGGCACAAAAAAAAAAAACCAAAACTTGATTTTGTAAAGCACTTCAGTACTTATAATCATGCAAAAGAAAATATGTTTTTAGATTTCAGAAATTTGATGATGACAAAATTCTTGGGACATTCTCTTTTTGGTAAAGCTTTTCAAACGTCTGTATGATACATTCACTGATATTCAATGATAAATGTTGTTCAGATCTGCACTGCAGGCCGGCCAAACCATTTAATGCTCTGCTTGGAAAGACTCTCAGGCTACCTTCACACTGGAAGCAATTCCAATATCCTTGCTCGTGTTTGACCAGACATCGCTGAAGGAGCTCAGAGTTGGAAAGAACAACATTGTCAAAGTTTCTGTTGCAACCTTCTCGTTGCTTCGCAACAGCCACAATTGCTGGGTATAAGCAACAAGACCAGCAGGACGAACATGTACCTGTGCCTTGCAGTGTGTGCAAGATGAGGTTTGGTATCATCATTGGAGATCCTCAGTATCAAAGTAACTCAGTATAGTACTACAGTGCTACTCCTGTAATACACAGCTTTACTCTGAACAGCTGTGATCCAGACTGGGGTCAAAACCTTACACTTTGATCAGACTTTTACTGAGTCTGAGTTCAAGGCAAAGGTGGAAAAATCGTGTGTGTGACTGGAGTGAATACGTTTTGTTCTCATTTAGTTTTTTGATTTTCGAATTTGCAGGAGCTTTAAACTCAAACTAATAGAAAAGCCTAAAGTCTCAGTTAAGTCAAATATTCTGGACATTTCTGCACCTCTAACTTTGTGGGAAAGGGTTGGAAAAAAAATCTTTTCCTCCTCCAGCATGACTGTGCACCAGCTCTTAAAGCAAGGTCTCTAAATGCATGGTTGGGTGAGTTTGGTGATGGAGAACATGACTTGCCTGCTCAGAGTGCTGACCTTGAACACTCCAAACACCCTGAGGATTAAATAGAACAGAGAATGTAAGCCAACGCCCCTAAATCAACATTAGTGCCCGACCTCACAAAAGCTTCTCTGAATCAACGGTCAAAGATCTCATGGACACGTTCCAAATATCATCTTGTCCTAGCACGAACCACGGCTGAATTAGCTTATTGGAAATTCGATTTCATCTTCGTCATGTTACGAAAACCCTTCAAAAGAACGTAGCTGTACTTTACGTCAAACATCACATTCATCCCCTTGCAGTAAACAAGTACGTTTAGCTTGCAGTTTGTGTGTAAATACATGTGCGATATAGAATGTAAGTAGGTTAATTTGAAGAGCAATGTGAGGTCTGTACTGCTGGAGGCATATGCCATGTGTCCCACGTGCCTCACTTCCAAATGAATCACGGCTCTTCCACAGTGTTGATGCCACTAGCAAAGTGCATGGGCCTCTTTCAAACACTAAATATTACATCAAATAAGCCAGGCTGTGTCTTTGGTGCCGCCATTAAAGGAGCAGAATCAGTTGTTTCAAACTCTGTGAGCGGAGAATTTCTTTGATTCTAAATTTAGTTTCAAAACGGATGTGAAAAAACAAAACCTACATTATATCTGTAGGAGACCCAGCCTTTTTATTGGTATTTGAATTGGTCGTGACGTGGTGGTACGGCCCACTGCAGGAGGCCGGGGAGAGGAAGAAGTGTGATGAATATGTATGGTCTGTATTGTTACTATTAGTACATTTGTCTCAGACATGGTCGAGGGTCTGTTGTCCTTGAAGCATGAAGTGTCAGCAAATAATACGCTGCCGCGCAGACAAATGGTCGCCATTAAACATGGATGAGCGTCATTATTATCAACGTATCAGAGCAAAACAGTCGACACAGTGGTTTTTTGTTACACTATAAACAGAGTTTTACACAAGTCATCTGAAATACTGTCCTTTATAAAGGTGAACGTATTTCTTACCACATATGCACTGGCACAAATAGAATTGTAAAAACTGATGTCAGCAAAAATCCAAAATAGATGGATACAACAAACAAACAAACAAACCCTGAAACACTGTACAATTGCGAGATTCAAGATTACTATAGTGCAGGGGTCTTCAACATGGGGTTTATGACCCCTAGGGAGTCATTTGAGGCACTGTTGTAGGTCCTGAATATAATACATATTTTATATATTTTTGCAAACATTTAAAAACAAACAAACAAAGGAGGGGAACGTACATCCATCTGCTCACTCAGAGACTACTTAATAAACATTTCTGGCTCTGAGCCTTAAACAAGTTGCTCTGTAATCTCCTGCATGCAGCAGGGCGTTCACTTAACCTTGTGGTGAGCTGTTTCTTTATCCTGCAAAGCTTAAATAATACAGGTCTGAGGGGCCAATCGAATGCGCACTAACAGATGTGAATCTCCTGTGGCTTCTGCAGCCCACACTTGGCTGCAGGACTTCCTCCTATAGGCTTCAATAATTTGGACTTTCAAAAGCCCCAGGATTGTAATTCATCTTATCAGCCTGCTGTGTTTTTGCTGAGCATCGGGTCATTGAATTGCTGTCCACGTTGGACTGTTGCTTGTAATCCATCATTGCAAAAGCAGCCCACTTTGTTCCCAACACTACCAGCAACGTTTCTCTCTGTTGCAATAGTTCACCGAGAGCCATTACTGCAGTTTGGTCTCCCTTTGACTACTGTAGAATAACTCTGGTCAAAGGCGTGTTTAGAGTAAATACAAAGGGGAGGTCAAAAAGACAAATGTTATCACTTTAACAAGGTGATATTAATAACCAAAACATGTCTCGTAGAGAGATTAACGTGTCTCAGGGCATTTGTAATTACAGGTTTGATTTTAATTAGGGCTGTCAAGCTGACGGACACAATTGTCAAAAACAAAAACAAAACACACATTCCTACAACAACCGAAAGGTGTTTTTTTTCTTCCAAGTCGTAACAGTCAAAGGTAGCCTCTCTCTCTTTCCTTTTCTAACCAGTGACGCCCATGTTGACCACCCACACATCAGGAAATGTCACAGCGTGTTTGCCGACTCCGACTAGCTTGCGCTGATATTTTAAGGTCGATTTAAATAATAATCATAATCATCCACAAAATGGGCGGTAACATTCACACACGAACACACTGAGCCCCCATTACTGCCAACAGGTGCTTGTTTAATAATATCACAGCCCTTGTGTTTTTGAATGTCGCTGAAATCTGTGTTTTTTTACCACTTTGACCAGATTGAGAAGATAATGAACTTGATTGGAGCAGGGATTGAAACTTCCAAATATAAACAGTCAACACCGAGTCCAGGTAATGTTTGATTCTCTCTTTTAAAAGACAGTGTATTGAATATTATGTTAATATTTGGGCAATATGTGATTATTTACATACAAATATTAACCCGACACAGTTCGCATCTCCAGGAAATGTGAGTCTTTGTAAAGTACTGGTTGTACAAAGTAAGCAAAATATTTGTTTTTTGTTTTTTTTGGTAATATATTTGCTTGCTATTGTTTTCCAACCTTTGTTGGATTTGATGACAAAATGGAAGGTTGGTTCTGTGGGGGGGAAGCCAATCCAAGCCAACGAAAGAGCAAAAGGCGAGAAAACGGATTGCCAGATTAACAAAGCTGTTTCCTGAAACACTGGAACATACCTTGAAAGTTGAATTCAGGCTTGTTCAAAATGTGTGTTTGTGTGTGTCCACTAGAGGAAAAGTGTGTTCAATGCCATACAGCATTGTTTCACAAAGACTGGGTCGCCACCCTAAGGTGGGCCGCAAGAGATTTTCTTTTTTGGGGTCGTCTCGCATCATGTTTCCCAGGAGTTTACGAATAGGATCGCGAAGGTTTGACTTTTAAAATATGGGTGGCCAGGGAAACACTTTGGGAAACACTGCCCTCGTGTGTGTAATACAGTTGGTCTGTTGGGGATTGACTCTTTCTGCATATTTTTGGGCTTCATCACAAATGTCAGCTGCAGTTTACGCTGGGTTTCTGCATTTGAACCCAGGGTCCTTCAGGCCTTTTCAGGAAACACTACATTGCATATGTGAAAGCAGTTATTAGATCAGATTATGATAATCTGATCTAATCTATGAGAGGCTCTAGTTGAAGGTTCTTTTCTGTGGGATCTTTTTCTAACCACATTTTTAACTGCTGTCAACTTTAGTAGACAGGACGACACCTAATTACCTCCGACTGTTTGTATCACCAGCTTGCCCTGAGAAGCATGGAGGGTAAATGTTTGTTGTTACACTCCACAGAGGTGAGCTGACATTTGTTAAGCAATTTTACTAGTAAAAATCAGAGTAAAATCTGATTTTTTTTTAACCAATGTCACGTCCTCATTTGTTTCTCCAGTTACTGTATCAGCTTACAAGGATTGAAGAGAAAACATGGTCTGTTAAAACAAAAACCAGGAGCCAGTGCAGAGGATGAACGCCAGCTGGCAGAACTTTGTTTAAACAGCAGTGCGACGTCATTATAGTGTTGATTTGCCGCCTCCTTTAACTCTGCCTAAAGGAGATTTCATCACATATGATTGCGTAACACTTTTCCTCAGATCTGTTCTGAACAGGCCTTCTCACATGATGTGTGTTTACTTAATGGGAAAAGGACAGCATGAGTCAAATGTGTGATAAAGATCTTTTTTCAGGAAAGTGAAAAAATGAAATCAAGCATTTCAAAGTGCATTTGATGAAAATCAAACACACACAGTGGACATAGAGTGGGGATTATTTACAAAAACTAACTCAAAAACAAATAAATGGAGTTTCAAATATAGATCTTGAAATGACCTAATGAACTGACCAAGAAGAGCCATTGACTGCATTGGAGCAGAACAAACAAAAACCCATGTCTTCAATCAACAACCCAAACAAGAAAACCCAACACAAAGCTATGACATTGCATGTTCTTTCTCTCTCAAGCAAGTGTGTGAACAGCACACACACCACAGCCTGCTTTTATAACCTGTGAGCTGCTGATTGGCTTCAGCTGCACAGAAGCACAGGTGAAGCCGATGGACTTAATGAAGGAGCAGGTGAAACAGCACAGGTGAACTGAACAGAGACAAACGCCAGAGAGTTGTCTTATAGAATTGTATTCTTTGAAGCACATTTAGCTTCCTGTAGCCATTAAATCATGCTAAAATAAAAATGTATCTGCAAAACCCCAGAGGACGAAACAAACACCAACCAAATGAATAAAAGCATCAGAAGAGGTAAAGTAAAATGTTGGAAAAAAAAAAGCACATTTTGATGCTGTAAAAGTCTATAATTGATCTCAATGTAACGTTAGTCTGAAATTTAACCTTAATTCAAGTTGTTCACACTTATACAAGACTTTACAATTTTACGCAGCTCATTGAAGATTTGAGAGTTTATTTGTCACATTCACTCAGTTACACATGTATGGCTACATACACAAAACAAATAATCATAAACAAAAGAGAGTGATTGTGATTTGAAACCAACCCCGAAGGAGATGTGTTTGTTTGTCACATCATTTGATGAGACTGGGGGAAGTAACTACTACTGTAATGAACATCATTCAGTCTCCACCTTGAGTAGGTGAGAGATCGTATAAAAGAATTAGTGTTGAAGTTGTTGTGGAAACATATACGAAGAGATGGAGGTGGATGATCCACGGTGTTAACCCCCACCCCTAACTCTAACCCACACCCCTACTCCCAATGCTACCCATCACCCTAACCCTACCTCTAAAAGTAACCCTAAACTTAGTGGTTCCCAAATTAGGGGGAGGGATCCCCTTAGGTGACGCAGAGTTATTCCAGTGGGACGAAGCAAGTCAAATGATTTCATTAATGCAGTAAACATGGACGCTTGGACGGTTTTGTGAGCCAGTGCAGTAACTTAACTTGTAGTTCAACTAGTCCTCTAACCCTAGAACTTATCTTACCTCTAATTCTACCTGTAAATCTGTGGCCAATTTGACTCATTTTGAGTTTAAGTGGGGCTGCATAGGTTATCTAGATAGTATAAAACGTCTGCAGACAATTCTACCCCTAACCTAGTCCCTAACACTACACCTAACTGTAGCCATAACCCTACTCTAAACCTACAATTAAACGTTATGCCTAATTCTGCTCTGAAACGTTCTTTAATCCCAACAGTAAAAGTACCCACAATCATCCCGCTATGCTAACCCTATCTCTAACTCTATCCCTAACTCTACCCCTAATTCATCCCATAACTCTTAACCCAATTCTACTCACTTCAACTTCCACTTTTTGGGAGTTTAGTGGTGTAGCGAGGTCAGCTAGATGAAAAGTCCTTCCCTAAATTCTGCCCCTCTCAACCCTAACCCTAACCTAACACATTAAGTTCTTTAAGAAGACATATCTGTTCTTGGTGATGTTTGTTGAGGTTAAATGTAAAACATAGGGTCCACAGTTTACGATGTACTTGTGTTCAGAATGTGAGTTTTGCGAGTTACAGTGAAAATCGAGAAATGTCGCACAGTAGGATCTGTATCTGCATAGCTTCTCCCACAGCACGTACTGTGTCCGGCTTTAACTGAAGCAAGTTTAGTGTGAATATTTCTACCCTTGGAGGTAATGAGTCACTTTGTTATATGTGACACAGAGAAAGACATGGATTCATAACAACTGAAAACTCCACAGGATCAACTCTGAAGTAAATAAAATCATTAACATTTAAGTTGTAAGTTGGTATTAAAGCACTGCGGTAAAAAAGACCACTGCAGCAGTCTGTCCAATGTGGTGCTGTGATTGGTCAGTCTGCATGCCAATAATCCATCGAGCATATTAGCTTGATGAGGATGCGGGGCTGTATGTTTCCGAAATTTAAACAAGTGACAGTAAGAAAGGAAGATATAAAAAAAGAAATGCTGAAACACAGAAATGATGTCTTGTGTGTGAATGAAGAGGAAAACGTCTCCCTGTGTTTATTCCATTCACATTTTCCTCTTTTACATCCTCTTACCAGGAGCCAAGGACAGCCAGTCATCTTCATGTACACATATTTCTCATGCCATTGTGTATGCTCAGGGATGAGATTGGGTTTTGTTCCCTTCACCAGTGCCTCCATTGTGTGCTGTGAGTGCACTGAGTAAATGGCCATAGAAAAGAGGGACTGGGCAGAGAGGTGAACTAACAACACACAGGAGGCATCAGCTCAGACTGCGCACATATTGACGTTCAAAGGCAGAGAGAAGAGTCCGCCCTCAGATTCCCTGCATTAATTCAGCTTTGCACCTCATTTTCTCCACAGCTCAGCTGTGCGTTGACGAGGTGCTGGTACTTTTCTCCAGCTCTGATAAAGACGCACGTCTTTATCTAGGTTCCACCTCAACCTCCGCCTCCGTAAATAAGCGTTTCAGGCTGCCGCTCGGAGCAAAGTCTAGACCTAGCAGCACTTTAATGTAACACAAACCCACTTGGACACTTTGAAGGCTTGGCCTGTTTAACAGGGACTGAGATAGTGACCCAGTTCTCCACAATGGACGAGTACCGGCCACTCTGTCAGTGAGTAATTGGGTCCTGCGTCTTTGGGAGGTGCCGCTGTCCCAAATGTATGGTAGTAATTGGTCGAGCTGCCTGGTGTTTTTATGTCTGTGTCGATGTTGGGGCTAAAAGCCAATGCACAGAAGAGATACGTTAAGAGGAGAAAAGTGAATCATACTTAGTCCTTAATCTTAATTACTACTTTATGATAAGGTTATATATTTTATCTCATGTTTCACTGCCTCCACCTCCATCACTGGTCTCTGTCTTTTATGGGGTATTAACATAAAAACAGATTTGTTTGAGGAAGGAGGCAAAAGTTTTGGGGTTTCTTTCTTCCGTGTGTGAGACAACGCACCTCTGATAGGCTTACAATAATATTTTAACCTTGGCTTTACCAATAATCATAATCACTTCATTAAATGGGCGGTAACATTACTTTGCACTGAAGCAAAATTCACACAAGAACTTTCAGACTACTCATCGTTGATAATAGGCGTTCTGAAGGAAGGGCAAATTCAGTAGCGCATTAAACCAAAAAAAAAAAAAAAAAAACAAACTTCAAAGTGACTGAGCAGTGCGGTGAAATTCCACTTATGTAATACTGGAGCAGCTACATGAGCAGAGCATCCCTGTGCAGTCCATCCTGGAGGATGAAACTGTCACAAAGTGTCAAAAAGTGACCTGAGATGCGAGAATCCCAGTGGGAGCTGATAGAACATCCGACTTCTGCATTATCTTCATTAGCCAAAAGCTAGGAAGGTAATGTAGGGAGACATGACCGTTAGTCGACATGAAATAATCCAAAGTCATCGAGCGTCTTATCTTATCTTTTCTATCACTCCCTCCCACTGTCTTCCCCTCTAGCTCCTTCTTAGTCAGAACAACTCTTGACAGTAAATGATGAGCAACAGACCCTGCAGATGACTGACAGGTCAAAAAAGATACAACCTGACCTTTACCCTGATTGTTAGCATCAAACATAACAGGCCCACATTCGGCCAATTACCAAGTAGGTTCAATCAATAGCCCTTCACTTGGCCTCCCCGTGTTGGCACTGCTTCACCTTCACCCTGACTGCCTTGCTGATTGGACGACTACACGTTTGGGAACGTGTAAGGCATGCAGCTTGAAAGCCTGTATAATTAGCACGTGCCTGCAGCTGTAGCTAGAAAGCGGTCAACTGTGTCAGGTCTCTAAAGTCAAACGTTTTCCGGGTGCATTTTTCATGTTTCTGATCAGAATTTTTGTTTTCTGGGATCCTTTTTATGCTGCGGTGAAGCCGCGTTCTCTAAAGATGTTTGATGTGACGTGAGCATCTGGAACTACAGTAGATAATGGAATTCGCCCCTTCTCTGTCACGCTGCATCATGCTGGAGAGATGGAGACGGCCTCGCAATCTTCTTTCTCTTCTCTTCTGTTTACCTTTTTTGGCAACTACTACCTTTGTTCACTGGCCCATGTCAGTCTCAAAGCCTCCAGGTTGGGTCTCCGTCATCCATCCGTTTGTATCCTGATTTTTGGCCATCTGTGCTTGATACATTAGTTAAGAGGTTGTTTTAAATAGATAACAAGAGAAATGGTAGGAAAGCATGGGGGATCTCGCAAACACATAAACACAAAACCACAATGGAGTTGGTTACACAAACATGGGGGGGGGGGGGGGGGGGGGGGGGAGTGTGAGGCAGAGGGAGGGGACTGTAGATAGTGGGAGAGTGAGGGAGAGGTGGTTACGTGGAGCAGCACCCCACTTCATCAGCAGCATACGGCAGCCCTGCAGTGCGATCACACAGTATAGGAATGGGGCTATGAGACTGAGAGCGAGAGAAAGAAAGAGCGAGAGCGGGGAGAGAGAGGGAGACGAGAGCAAGGAGGGGGGGGGCTGGTTGAAAAGAAGAGCTTGAGGGATTTGCACAGATGAGGAGAGGGGTGGGCGATCACTGAGTCTGTTGACTGTCGTGGATGTGAGGAGGACGTGGCATCAGCAGCTGAGGTTGAGGCAGATCTGAGGTCTCCCGTGCAGAAGTAGCCGGCGTCAGAACGTCATGCCCTGTGAGCACTGAGGGGAACCGTGTGTGTGTGTATGTGTGTGTGTGAGCCAGGAGCAGCTGCTGTGACTGCATCTGCACTGCCTGTATGTATCAGACAGGCTGGGGATGCAGCAAACCTCTGCCCTAAGAACAGAGGCTGCTAGCTGTACCCACCGAGGAGAAGGACCAGGTGGGCTGCAGCAGTGGGAGTGGGGGGCACCTGCCTCGGCGAGGAGCCGTCTTAACCTGCGCCGTGGTCCTGCAGTGATCCTCGCCTCAGAGTCAAGAGGCTGCACCTGCCGCTTGATGGATCTTACCCTGGATTTACTGCCCTGACAGATGAGAGGCACATTTGCTCGTAGAGCCGCACAGCCAGTGGTCTGCTGAAGAGAGTGGATGCTGGGAAGCACTGGCACCACCAAGGACACTGAACCTTCTCCCAGCGGCAGACAGCTTACCTGGAGCTCCGTCAAGGAATCTATACTTGGATTTAATCATGAATTGAGGAGTTTGGAATCAGCACGCTGTGGAAGTCCTTAGCTTTGGTTTCCTTTTTGATGTAGGATTTACAATATTTCCACCTGACTGTAGTCCATGCACTGGCTCTGGAGTGAGAACAGACCATGATTTAAACAAATGTAGATTCCTTGATCCTAAGTAACATGATTACCTCAACAGTACGTTAGAATGCTGCTACCTTCATTCTATGAACCATGTCCTAGCTCTCAAAGAGGTTGACCAATGAAGCCATGGGACTCAGCCAGAGCTTTACAAGTATGTGGTGAAACCCTGACAAATTTATTTTTGGGGGGACTTAATATTTCCAAATTTGAAAGAGGAGAAACTCAAGGGCATAGATATGTAATGTATGAAAAATGTCTCATTCAGTGATTCTTTCTTTTTCCCCTTAGCTTGAAATTGCCTTGTTTCCTGATTTGTAGTTTTTTTTTTTGTTTTGTTTTTTTGTGATTATTTTATTTTTTATTATTTGTTTGTTTTTACACTCACCTATTTACTCAATGACAAGATGTTTGGTGAACCTTGTTTGTTGGAAGATGCCACAGTGGCACGATCCAGCAGAACTAAATACACCATGCTTGAGATTGGCTTTCTTCCCTGCACTACCTCCACCCTCGCCTGACAGTTTTAGTCAGTCACACTAACACAGAGCCGGGGTTTTATTAGCTTACTCAGTCCCCTGCAGGGTTTGAGCTGGGCCTGCAGCACTTCCTATCCTCCTCCTGTGTTTGAGTTTAGCCCGGGCCCCCACCTGTACCGTGGGAGCCCCTCACTCCCGGCCTGGACCCTGTCTCCCCCCCACACTGCCTGGTGCTGCTGCACTCGGCTCTGCCTCTGCTGGCCGAGGATGATGTGGCAATGCCATGTGTCGTCCTCTGAGTGCCGCTGCTACCGGCTGAACGGCTTTTCACTGCTGAAGCGCTTCCCTCTCTCGGCAGATGGGGCCTGTGGTAAAGCCCTGGACCAGCCGGTGGGAGAGTGGCTGGAGCACGTGGGGCTGCCGCAGTACGAGAGCAAGTTCCTGCTCAATGGCTTTGACGACCTTCGATTCATGGTGAGTGGCCCGCAGCACGTCCTCTCAGTGTCGCTCGCACTTTACATCACTCTGCCTGTAAACACAGCTGTTTTGTGTCGTTGCTCTGCTCTTTCTGTCACCACCTGGTTGTCCGTCAATGCCACCGCTCACCGCTCTCCCTCCCCCTTCTCACCCATTTACTCTCGCTGATTCTTCCTCCTCTCCTTTCCCCCTCTCTCTTTCATAACTCCCCTCCACATCCGTGAGATGCATGACCCTGCCAAGATTTACAGCCCCTCGCTGCACCCTTTTATAGAACACAGACTTCCACACATGACAGTTGACAACCAAGCGGCACCAACTTCCCCCAGCATTCCCAGGGATGCTGACTGACTCACTCTGCACATTAGTCCCACCTCGTCCACAGGACACAATCTGTGTAAAAACACTGAGATAATTTAAAGCAACAGCCTTCAGTCTGAAGACACTCTGATCTAAATATACTTTGCATGGTTGTTCACTAAATCTGCTTCCCATGATCTAATCTCTGCTTACTTTGCTGCAGTAGCATGCTTATTATAACAGACACCAAACTGAAAGATACATATATATATATATACAGTATATTCACACACACATATATATGAAGGATTAGACAGATTAGTGTCTCTGGAAGCTGTCAAGACATTCATATGAATGGTTTGCAGTTTATAAACACCACCAGGAGATTACAGGTTGATATAAATATGATATAAACACAGCTCAAAGATCGTGCGCTATCAGACTAAAAGCCTTATCATGTTTCCCCCCGAAAACAGCACTGAGAGGAAACATGATACACCATTCATGCCAGGACTGTAGTAAACATCATGGAGATGCCTAAAAGAAAGCGCTGATGTAAACGTCCCCAAAGGCTAAAAGTCCAACTTCTGTCAGGCCACATGGCTGTTTTTGCGTAATGAGCTTTACGTCCCATCAGTTTCTACACAGATGAGCGCCGTTAAGTAGGAACGGCAGATTCAGAGGTAGGACGGTAACAACTCGGTTGTAACGATGGCGTTTAAGGCATTTCACATCTGTGAGCACAACATGACGGGCATATCATGACGGTAATTATGATGCATTGTGCACATAACACCGAGCTGGATGAGCAGAAATTACTCCACACATATTTACATAACAAATCATTAGCAGATGCTCAGCCATGGGACAATAGCCAACACAACATGGTATGTTGGGCAACAGATAAGAAAACGGGACACTGAAAACAACACTCTATTTACTCTATTACTCTATTTTCATTTCACTCTCAATTTCAGAGACTATTTTTTGCATATGTGGCTTATGCATCAAAATAAGACGTTTTAGTAATTGTAACATTTCCTGTACCAGTGATACTGTAGGTACCAGTACTTTGTTTTACAAATGTCTTCTTCTAGTTAACCAAAAGTGTATATCTTTTATCCATTGTAATTTACGAACTGTATTCCATTTACACTTCAACTTTTTTGTTTATATTCAGCAATCAGGGGAAACCATCATTAAACTGGAAATTGAACCATGTATTCTGACAGATATGTTCACAGATACAAAGGCAATCTGTGGATGTCCGCTGCAGTTTACAGTAGACATAATCAAAAACAAATCTCGACAAACAAACAGAATTACTTCTATCGCCACCTAGTGGGCTGGATTAGTTTGTTTCAACTGTGGTTATTAGCATATCACTAAATGCTAAAGTTGTTTAACCTCTGGAAAGCGAAGG